AAAAGCAAACTCTAAAGCACCATTTTCGGTCAGACACATTGTGCAAATTCATTTCTTTAAATGTATTGCTCAACAATGAGAAAATTAATTAATTAAAACTGATACATTTATCAAACTGCACTTAACACACTGGACATAGAAGTAATTCTAAGCCAACATGAATTCCTCATCTGGTGTAACACAGCCTTTCAGATTAAAATTTGCATTAAACGGCAATATCTCACAGCAAAGTATAGCACTGCGTTTAATGCAGTGTGGACATACCTGATGTCTGAGTACAAAAAACAACTCAAAAAACAACTACAAAACAATGAAACAGGGGGTACAAATTGTAATAAATCTGCATCAGCATAACAAATACAATGTCAATATCACACAGTAATATCCAGTTGCCCATGTATAGCCTGTGTAGAAGGTCCCGAGGTGCCTTTCTACAAAGCTGGAGGTTGATTATACAGGTTGGAAGGGACATATCTCACACAGAAGCGTGCATAGTTGCCAGGACAAAAACATACAACTTACAATGGTGTGCAGTGCAGTGACCTCAAGTTGTGTATGATAATATGCCAATGTCCTCATGAGGCCAGGTGTCATTACAGGAATCAGCAAGTTGTAAGACATTTTCGAGATGCTCAACAACCGAGCCAGTCCTTTGTGATTTCGCCCAGCTTGACAATCTTCAAGCTGCTGTCTTCCAGTTTGAAATAGTGGTTGCCTTTGAAGAAGTAGCTGTAATCTGTTAAAAACAAGCACAATGCACACTCTGTTCAAAGTATTTGCTTGAGTTAGTTTTCCACAGCAATAATTTGTGTAAAACAAGAGAGAAACTACCTTCTAATCACATTCAAATAATCACGCTAATAAAAACATTTAGATTAGCAGTGCAAAGTCGCTCTCTTTAAATTTTGCCAATCAGGTAGCATACAGAGGCACCTCTGTGCAGGGAAACAGACTTTCTTTATATAAATTTGTTTGTTCACTGTGTGGGGAAGGGGCTCTGTGATGCTGGCTGCACTGTGTGTATGTTCAGAAAGCAGTAATGGAAAAATCCCTGGTTGCTTGCCATAGACAAATATCTACCACCCCTAACCCCAAGTATACATTGCTGACAGTGACAGGCTCAAGAGGAGGTTTACCTGGATCATGCCTAAAAATCAACACTCTCTGACGGGAGTTCTTACCCTGCAATGCCCTGCTCACTAGCCAGCAAAGCCAACTGTTATGTGTTATTCAGTCACTGAAAATTAAAGGATTGCACAAGACAAAAGAAAGAAACAGGACTCCCACTGACTGTGTTGTTCTATCAACATCAGACCACAGATGACTCCCTAACTCCAGAGCAACTCCCTTTGGCTGGTTTTTCTTCTTTATTTTCTTTGTGTATTCAGTTCCTGTAAATGATTCACTTTTGGCACAAAAGCATCATCACTACTTGCTGGGTTTGAGGCAGAGACAAAGTCATGGCTCACTGATAGAGCTGACTTTATTTTTTGCAGTCTTACAAGAAGTGGATGAGTCCTAATGACTGATCGTTTACAGATTTTGTTTTTCTTGCACTTCCATGATGTTGAACTATTTTCTTTTATAGTTATACACTGGATTAATCAACTAGTGGATGGATTTAAATAAAGTGTACCGCTCTAACCAAGGCTAAATTAATGCTAATCATCAAATGCTTACATGGATGTTAAGATGGTGCAAATGGTAATTGTTGCATTCTCTGTCATTGCCAAATGAGCATGGTAGCACAATGTGCTGCTAGCTTCTGTTAAAAGTGTCCGGCCTCAAATCTTCACAGCTTATGTAAAAAAGAGAGAAATATATTTTTACCAATGCCATTAAGACTGAAGGCAGAGTCAAGGCCATCTGGGATGCCATTCCAGGAGTCAGCAATAAGTCTGGGGAAGCCAGCATCCATGATCTTCGTCTCTTCATCATATCTGTATATATAAAACAGTAACGTGAATCCTTAAATAAGTACTTCAGAGTTCTCTCATTAACATAAATTCACCATTCACCACTCATACTCTTCCATAGAGATAAAACATTTAGTCATCGTCACCTTGAAATCCCATGTTTTGAAAGGGCTTACACAGCTGTTGTGGTTTAGAGTACAGTTTAGTTCACACGAAATGCTAACTAGATCTAGGCATGATTCAGTACTGTAAGTAAGAGGGGGTGATGACAGCAGCAGACAAGGGCCGTTGGGCCCTAAATAGTTTCAAGTTTGGGTATTACCTCCAGAATTTGTCTCCAGCAAAAAGATAAGTCTTTTTGTTCTTCCTGAAGTTGAAGGCAGCATCAATTTGTGAAAGGTCTGTCGGAAGGTCTAGACTGGAGATCTTCTTGGGGTAACCTCTCTCCAAGTCATTCGCTTTGTAGACCCACATCTCCTTGCCTGAGAGAAAAAAATAATTAGAAAAGAAGAATTGTGGCAAAAAAAAAAAACTCAAGACATTTGTTATAATGACGGAAGGTAACTTTTTTTTTCACAAAGGATGATTAAAGAATCCACATTCTTACTTCTATTTACCAAATATATTATATATATATATATATATATATATATACACACATATATGGCTGATATATATTTATATATATATAAAATGAGTGAGATCTTGTGATTGCCATATAGCATAGTCCCTCCTTTGCCAAACCAGCTCTGCTGCTTATGTACTCAAAGTTGATAATTTACGTAAAACTCATCAGTATTCATGAAGATTGTCATTCAGTCATATTAGTAAGTTGCAAGGAATGCATCATAAACCACTAATAACTATTTTGAAATATCTCAAGTGTCCCAAGAGTGCACACAAGAGTGCCAACATTCCTGCTTCTCTTAATGTTTCACTTTGTTAAAATGCTTAACTGTGAGGCAGAAAGCATCCCAATGATCAAAAAGTAGAGACACCCCTTGATTACTCAAGCAACTGTCTGTTTGTCTCCATGGAAGCAAAAACAGAGTGCACAGTTTATGTAATATGACAACAACATTGAGCAATGTTTAAATCATCTGTTTCTAACAGTTATACTTGTCTTCTCCAGCATACCTGAGAAGAAGACAGTTTTTTCCTCCAGTGGGTTTTCATAGGCAGCGTCTATCTTGGCAGGCAGTTCAGGCCAGTAGGTGGCCACTAGCATTGGGCCGCTGGGCTTGCTTCTGTAGTTGACTGACCTGAACAGGAACCTGGCAGACAGATAATGAGTGGGTGAGCATTCTTAAGGTAGATGAGCTGTGGATGAAATAAGAGTGAGAGTGAAAGAGGAGCAGAGGAGGTTGATGAGGAGGAGTGTGACTTTGTGTATGTGTGTTAGGGGGGGGGGTAGTGCAAGTGCTTCACTGGCTGAGCCAGCCACAATGGCCTGATTCATGAGCATCTGGTTCTCCTTAGGACTAAGTTTGCAGACGCCAGCGGAACAAGACCCATCTTGCCTGAATTTCCAAATCCACAGCTGCACAACAACTACAGCTTCCCAAACTCTTTTCCACTGACCTATTTTTTGAAAAGAAAGTAATCTACCGATTTCAAAGATAAGTTGTGATGATGAGAATATAAAAATAAATTTCAGAATAAAAGACATCTTCGAGTCTGAATGTATAAGTTGTATTAGTTGTGTTCTTGTCCCGATGTCTTCAATTTATTTCTTAAACAAAAAAACCCCCAAAACAAATTTGTTTTTCCAAAAGCAAAATAATGTAACTCTGTGCTCATGTCAATCGTTATTAAAGGTCACAATTGCTTTATGATGCAAGTCTGGCAGAAATATCAGCAGCCATTATGCTCCTGAATTGATTCTACATCACTGACAAGACTTCTGCTGCTTGTAGTGTTGTTGTCCTGAAAACCTTCCTTTGGATGAAGGCAACATCAATTGCGACAGGTCTGTGGGAAGGTCAAAGCTGGAGAGCAGTACTTTGGGTAACCTCTCTCAAACCTATTCTGTAGACCCACGTATCAATGCTTTTTTGATTTTGATGCATCTAAGGAAACATTTTTTGGTGACTAATCTGCCTTTATTAGGATTTTAAAAATGCGTTGGAAACAGGACACTGCCATTTCCACGATGGCAGCCTTTTTTTGGTGGGTGCACTACTTCAGACCTACATCCGAGCCTGTTAGCATACTGTCATCCTCCAGACCTGCTAGCATCCAGCAACCCTCCCAGTTGCTAGCCCCCAGCCTATTTCCCAGCTAACTTCCGCAACCCATACCCTGTGTTAGTCTTAGTAAGTTATACCATATGGCTAAAATTGGACCCATAGCTTTCAGGCCTATTTGTACATTGGCTGGCAGTCTGTCAGACCCTGAGAAGTGTCTTCAGATAAACTCGCCAGATGTGTTCCTATGACACCTGCAGCATAAATCCACTCAGTTCCAGCTTGGGGGTCCTGGATAATGCCCATTCTACAGTCTGGCAGACACCACCCCATGATCTCCAACCAACTGTTGGTCATTGAGGGAGATGGAATAGGGGATTGCTCCATCAACTCCACGCATCGACCTGGTGTTGCAGTACAACTAGGAAAAGTGCACCAACACAGTATATGGTGGGAATGCACCTTGGTTGCCACCCGCCAATAGACCGAACAAAGAAGAGAAGAAGAACGGTTGGTCCGACACCAGATCCTGGTTCTCAGTCAGCCATTCCCACCCTGCCTACCTCCCTGCAGACAACACAGCCTATATTCCAACAGCTGTACTGTGGCCTGAGCTGACCTGCAGTGGAATGATCTGGTGCCAGCCGTCCTGTTAAATCTTCAGTCTCATCCACGGAGACTTTACCAGTCATACTCCTCCTCTGCCTCCTAAGAGGCCCTGCTGTCGCTGGCCTCCTGCTTAGCCTCCTGAGGGGACAGCCGCATTCAACATGTCCCAGCCTTCATTGTTGGCCTCCTGCCGTACCCCTGGAGAGATCCAGTCTTTGCTGTTAGCTTCCTACTCTGCTTGAAGATAGATCTAGCCTTTAGATTTGGCGTTCTACCTCAGTAGAGATCCTGCTTTTGTCCATGCCTTTACTGACACTCTTGGGGACTGCTTCATGAGTCAGCCTCCTGCTTCTTTATCCCCAGACCAGGAAATGCAAGCAGTCCCAAGAAATGCAATGTTTGACAATGCTCATTTTTGGCAGTGGCTCCACAGCTTCTAAACAAGCTAATTAACTTAAGTGTATACTCCTGTTGTGAAGAAAAATAATTGTAATATGTGTAGCACAAAATCAGGATGTGGCTGCAATTATTCTTGACTGACTTCTTTATTAAAATAATGTTATTTGTTTGTGCTGTAAAAGAAAACAATTGTTGCGTCTCTGATGTACTTCTATCAGTGTCTGCGGTATAAGTGTTTAATTGTGGTTTTAAACTGTTTACATGATAATGATGTGTTTCCAGATAGGAAGGAAATCTCAACTACAGGAAATTCTATATATTAAAAACAACTCCTGGCTGTGACTACATGTTTATATATGAAAGCGTGAGCATGTTTTACCATAATATTTGTTGTGTAAAATTATAGTCATATATACACTATGACCCTAATTAGTAGGTTGGCCAAACTATTTCTATAAGACAGACTTTATAATTGCCTTCTCCTTAAGCCTCCAGACAGACAGACGCACACTACTGCTGAGCTCAGGGCGCGCTACAAGATTTGTTCATTGTATCATGTCAAGATTTGTCCTACATCATAAATATTTCTGAGCCAGGAGACAGGGGGGGGGGTCCAATTTGTACAATGAAAGAGTCAAGTGAGCATTATCCCTGAAACCCAGAGGCCACTGCTCTTTCTCTGAAGCTATAAACCTTTTTACCAGAGCTCTGCAGCTTACAAGCCTGACATGGCCTTCAGGCAACTCATTAAGTTGCTGTGAAGGTCAGGACAACACGCTCATTCTGTAACTTTACTAGAGAGTCAAAATGTGCTGTACGTTCCCTTCAGTGCCTTGAGAGAACTCTGTCTTCAATTTCTCTCCCTTGCCTTCAGATGAGTGGCTCATAGTCCTCTCAAGCATTGACACATATTTCCATAACAAAAATTCAAGGCATATCTAATTAATAATTGCTTGAAATGTACAAAACAAAGTGTTATGGTTCCACATGAGACGTAACACAGACGGTTAAGTTGCTTAACAAACCTTGCATGTGATTCAGAGTTCAGTTAAAACATCTGCTGAACTAGGCCAAGCTGCACATAACCAAAGAGAGGCAAATTCCCATAATTAGAACACAGAGCAGTTGATTTTAACTATTATTGCTCCCCAAAAGTATCTAGATGGCAGGTTTGCATCAGAATGTCATAGTTACAATTATGGAACAGCACAGCTGATAATCAGGTATGTTTGTCTTTCATTTTCATAGTTGTAACTCAGACTGAAACATTTAAGAGAAGAAAGTTTCAGACTAGTTGATTTCCAGCAACAAGGCCAAGGTTTCATGGTCCACATAGCACCCTATGAGCTCATGTGCTGCACTGTCTATCGCAGTAAATGTGTGGAAAAGAGCCACAGTGAGGTGAAGAGAAATTCTGTATTTCAGCAAGTGAGTGAGGCCTGTTTCTCCTGGTTTCTAACTCCAGGTTATTGGGGGGGGGGGGCAGTCTAAATGAAAGACTACACTCTTTCGTATGGAGGTCTGCTCGCCTGTTTACTTAGGATGATTTTCCAAAATGGCCATGACAGATACATAGCTATGTTAACCTCAAAATTGCAGGGAGTAAACATTACAGAGTGTATCTATGAGAATAAATGCGTCACAACCAGCAAGGATGCTGTTTGTGTTTTCTATCAGCATTTCTTTTGTTTTTGATCTTAGTGACCCTCAGAAGAATTTAACTAACAAACTTCTGCTATTGTTGAAAGTGTTCACTTTTGTATGGGAAAATGCTCTGACTCACAAAGACAGTTGACCAAAGCCCCAGCATTACAACCCCTGCACTGGGTCAGCTGGTAGACACACAGTAATCTTACACTGGTATCACTGGTGCCAGTGGAGGAGAGGACTGCAGACTGTGTTTATGGCTGACGACTATTTTGGTTGTCGCTGCATGCATAGACAAGTAGTTTTTCCTTCTTACTAATTGTCACATCATGAAACAAGCCATCCAAACCACGATCTTCAAGTGGCATAGGATTGCAATACGAGAAACAATAATTAACAGGGTACCTCATGTCAAACTGCTTGCTTTCGTGGGCAAGATTATTATGAAATCCAATTTGTGTAGGATGAATTATTTTACTTGCACAAGTCATGAAGCCAGAAGTAGGCTACTGGGTTTTGTTTGTTGTTCTTTCCATAGATCACAGACAGGAAATCCAGCTAGACTTTGGCAGTGCTTACAAGTTTCAAGAAAGTCAAACATGGAGCAAATGAAAACAGAGCAGTTAGCATATTCAAAAACCATGATCCAGAGCTTGGATTATGGCTGGAGTGCTTGTTAGTGCAACTTCCTGGCCCTGATGTGGTGTATGCAAACTTGGTGAAATCTAGTTTGGACCAAAATACCATCAGGACTTCCTGTTTGATGTGATTACCTGTCCTTGAAGAAGAAGGTCTCTCCTCTGATTTGTGCTATAGCATCAAAGACAACTGGCTCCTTACAGATGTCCATTGGAGTAACTGGACCTTGAGTCGGAGTCTGAGGCTGGTCTGTCGACGCACCTAAATTTAGCAGATTTACCAAATATTTTATAATTAATTGATTAATTATGCACTCATAGTATTGATACTTCCCAAACTCTAATAAGGAAAACACAATTTTTTGGTTCTTGTATAAGACTTAATCTCCATCGAGGCAACAAGTCACATATCTCACCATAGAGCTCCTGGATGCCTTGAACATCATCATGAGAAAGTCTAAAGTCTTTTGTGAAGGTGTAAATGGGGGCCATTAATGCTCCTGGGTCCTGAGAGTGCTCCAAGCCAAGGGCATGACCAAACTCATGGGCTGCCACCAGGAACAAACTGTAGCCTGAAAAGATGTGATACAATGATCATCTTCACAGGAGAAACAATTAATTTAAAGGTTGACACAAGTCTTAGTAAATGAGTATGATGGATACTGACTGACAGTTTTCTAAATTGCCATGGCTAACCAGTTCATAGTTTTTGTGATTTAACACTCTTGTAATGTGCCTTAAAAGGCAGAGGAATGCCTTCATACCTTGGTCTGGACAGAAACCCCATTTACGGTCATCATCATAGCTCTTGGTGGAAGCACACCACATCTTGCCATCGCTGCGCCCTGATGAGGTGCAGGATTCATAGGTGTCTCCCAGGAAGGTGAAGGGGAAGACACAGGGGCTTCCCTCTGCATTTCCTCCCACTGTTGACATGGCTGGAGGGGTAAACAAAAAGTAAAATTGAGAAAAAGTGAAATGTGCAGCGACCTTGGTTCATCTCACTGTCTTATGAACTCATTCACATGCCAAAATTCTTCTCCAGAGCAAGAAGGCTTGTATTATATTGTGAAATCAACACAGATGATCGAGAACAATATAATGAAGGCAGCTGGCACATGACATCAATACCTAGGCATAATACCAAGACGAACCCGCCCAAATTGATTTTCTTTCAGAGACATCATTTTCAATTTGGCAAGACAGGTTTTGTGCTGTTTAAAGAAAAATAATTTCTTATTCAGCACAAGGTATCGCTCAAGGCTTTACAACAAAGCTACATTCCCAATCAATTAGAACCAGACGAAAGCCCCAGTGGCTGTACCTCTCTCCGTATCTCACTGTCTCTCCCTCCCAACTTCACTACTTTGGCCCTAAAGCGCACTCCTACTGACAGAATGGAAAAGAAACCCTGCCACTGCACATTAAAATACTTTCAGCGGCATTCAGCAGACCACAAGCAAGACTGGAAATCCCAACTGGCAAATTCCAGTAGACCTTGCACATGACTTGGTACCTTACACTGCACATCAAAATATACACAGACAGTAAAATGCACTATATGAATCTAAACAAGCACATAGACTGAAGACAATGCAAACACTTGTATACAGCTATACACTATGTGGCATCTTTATGATACATAGAGGAAACTTAAGTTTTCTTATGTAATGAATATAGTCTGACATAACAGACAGTGTGTAACACCCCCTACCAGTTTCAGGACAGAACCCATAGCTTTTGTCTCGGTCGTAGTCCTCAGTAGTGGCACACCAGCGGTAACCATCATCCCTGCCCTGCGTGGTGCAGCCGTCATACTTCTCTCCTTGAAAGGTGAAGGGGAACTTGCATGGAGAGCCCTCTGCATTTCCACCCATGGTGAATAGTACTGTAGAACAAAGGAAATAAATAGAAACATACTGTAGTTTACATATAAAGAACACATATACCTATATTATAATTATAATAAATATTCAATATCATTGTATTGTATTTTTCACTGCTTACAAAGAATAAGCTCAGTTTCTTACATGATTATTACAAACAACCAAGATGCTTTGACCCCTGAATAATGATTTCAGACAAATGCATTGACAGAGGAAAATAAATCATAATTACACCTAGAATGGAACTTTTTTGTTCATCAATACAAATAACAGACGGCTCCAGTACAAACAGTTATGTTCTCATCATATAAAACAACTTAGTACATGTGTACTTTGGCTGTTTTCTTGTAATAGGCATGTGATCATGTTAGTACCATGGACAGCAACATAACACAGATAAACAAAATGTTTGACAAAGCCCAGTCTTCTAAAGTGGGGCAGCAACTTGGAAAAGAAATATTCCATACTCCACTCCAAATAAAAAACAACACTTTCCTGGCACATGGTCCAACCTACTTTCTTTCTGTCCAAAATCAGCAGAACAGCTTTAAATATGGCACTTATCTAATATGAAGTATTACTTTGCCTCTATAGGAAACACTGATTCTATTTCCTGAACTTTTTCACATGTTTGGCTTCAGTCAGGTGCAAGTAGGGTATGACAAATATTCTGCTAAGGTCAAATGGGGCCACAAAAGTAGAAATTGAAACAGACACTTACTCTGTAAAGACAACTGGTTAAGATTGCAATGCCACATTATATGTAGTATATATATGGTGAACTATCAAAAACAGTAGACAACATGACAAAACTTACATTCATGAGGGCAGAATCCATATTTGCCATCATCATCAAAGTTGTAAGTGGTGGAGCACCACAGGAAGCCATCGTCACGACCCTGGGACGTGCAGCTGTCATACTCAGTGCCCATGAACAGGAAGGGAAATTTACAGAACTCGCCATCAGCATTACCAAACTTCACCTTCACCACTGTGAGAAAGGATATTGATATTGTTTTGAACCAAATGATTCACCATTCAGACAGATGTTCAGTTCAACAGCAAAATGTACTTTATAAGCAATAGGCAATAATGGTATAAGCATTTCAAAGCACTGATATGAGACAGAAGTTAATTTTACTTCCTGTGAGAGGTAGATTGCTTATGCACAAGTAATAGATTCAGACAAGAGGATCTGAATAATGGGAAATGCATAAAACTATCTGGGTCAATGCGTGCAAATATAAATGCTGGCAGTGGATTTTCTATTCAGCTTCCAGATGGCTATGATTTGCCATTTTGAGTGCCAGAAAGTTCAGACAAAGTTAAGACTATGACGACAAAGTATCTGAAAGTCAGATTAGAAATATCTAAGTCAACATTAGTGTCCTGACACCTCAACTGCTGAACTTATGCTGATGACAAATTATACTGCACTTGTGTAGTAAACATAGTTAAGCTTTTTGCCATTCACTGTTGTGAATAGTCCCCGTCTATTACCTTGGCCATCTCCCAGTGTCCACTGCTCATCATCATCAAAGTGGGAGTCTCCTCCAATTCCTGGCCCTGGAGCGAAGGCGTGAGCCAAGAGGCCATCTTTGCCGTCAAAGGGGTAACCGTCTCCGTGCTCTGTTAATGACATCATTCAGTATTAAAGGTTTAGTGTGCAGGATTTAGGTGAAAGGGATCTTTTGGCAGAAATTTAATATAAAACATTCCTAGTGATGTTTTCACTAATGTGTAATCATGTAAATTGTATGAATTGTTGTTTTCTTTACCCTAGAATGGGCCCTTTATATTTAAATACTTTCTATAGTACTTTTCTACATAGGGAGTGGCACCTCTCTGCGGAGGTCGCCATGTTTTTTTTCCAAACTGGACAAACCTTTTGAGTTTTTATGACAACTGGAGGTTTCCACAGGTTCTCTTTCATGTTTCTGTTTTCACGAGGCAACAACTGCTACAGCTATTATCGAGAAATTAAAAGTAATTGATGCTACTTTAGACAGGGAGTACATGTTATGGCATTTGTGTGTTTATTAAAACACCAAATTATTCTTCATATTTCTGTTGGTAAAAGAACAGTCTGAGGTTTCAAATCTGTAAAACTGCTGCATTCCTTCTCGACAGGGTCAGCTAAGGCTAATCTGGGTGTTATTATAACCGTGTGAGTGAATCATGACTGGAAAAATCAGTGATACATCCACAATTCTCATTGCTGGATAAAGGTTTCCTAACTAAATTTGTTTGCAGGGTGTGGAGTCACTGTAATAACATTTGTCAGTGTACCTTCACCATTTCTGAAAAGGGCATTGAACTGCTGTTCATCAGTTTTAAAACGTACCTAATCATAAGATGGTTGTTAGATTGCTTAAACTGATCTTGTGGAGAAAATCTTGAAATGTTCATCCTTCTAAGGCTTCATTAAGTAGGGCATTAGGGCATATGAAGTCCTTTTTTTGCTATAAAGTAAGTTAATGTGTTCGAAATCTTGATTTTTTTAAACTTTTAAATGTGTGGCATTTTGCAAAATATCTAAAGTCTCCATGTAGTCTCTGGTCTGTCCACATAGCATACCGTTGCGGCCGAAATTAATCATGATGTCAGCCTCTCCGTCCATGAGGCGGGTGAATGAGAGTGGGGTGACGTCGCTCCACACTTTGAAGGCTCTGAAGAAAGCATCATTTATGACCTCCTCGTCCAGATCGAGAGAGTATCCCAGAATTCTACGGAACAGAAAGTTTCAGTCAAGATAAGTAATCAAAAGCCTGTGTGATGAAGATAGTCTGTCAGTGAGACATTTTCAAAGGTACTGAGGCAAATCACAAGATCTCTTTCTCTATTTAAGATCATGGAAAAGAACCCAGCTGAAGCCAGGCAGTAACAGCGTATGAGTCATCTGGTGAAAATGCTTCCCGAAACAATGTTCGGCTGCAAACTTTGCCTAAAAAATAGTCAATGATCCTTGAGTTGTTGTTGTCTTTGGCTTGCAGTCTTCCTTTCTAGCACATGGGCAGACAGGCTGGAATGATCACGCCACACAAAAAACCCCACTGATATAAATAAACCCCACTCTCCACATTGTTGTAAAACCTCAAACGGAGCAAAAACAAAAGACCTGACACACACTGTGTAGGAATGCTGAGTGTTAGCAAGAAACTAAGTGCAACAGCTCCACAGCCGTGCAGATGGGGGTGGGGTGGACTGGGGGCTGAGGAGAGAGTGGGGGGGGCGGTGTCAGGCGGGGCCAAGCTGTGGTCCATCTCTCAGAGAAAACAGACTCTAAACTTGAATTTCTATTTTTGTGCTCTGGAAATATAGATAAATAAACTGAAATATTTTGGTTTTATCATGGAACTGACATATTGTAGTCTATCTTAATACTACTAGTTTGACTTATGCACTGTAGTTGGGTGGAGTCAAGTTATTTGACCTGTGTGTAAGATCGAATAAAACATCCTGATGTTATACATGAAATGCATCTATAGTAATGGCCCTAGTTGTAATGTTGTTACCTTTTATATGGACCAAACTCTTAGAAACTTGCATGATTTGATTGGTGGAGCACAATAATTCAGATTCATAATGAACTGGGACCCACTCCCATCATTAAATGCTCCTTTACAGGAGGAACTCACTTGAACAACGACCGGATAATCACAATGCCTCTTTACAAATTAGAAGCTAATGTTGTTTTCCTGACCTGTAGGTGATGTCATTCTTCTGCCACATGGGTTTCCTGTGGAAGAAGTTGTAATTGGCCACATCTGGGACACCACAGCGAGGCTTCTTCATGATCTCTACAGTTTTGGCATCAATTTCTCCGGTTTCTTGCAGAGAGAAGAACTTCTGCATTTTCTTCAGCGTGTCCTTGAGCACCATGAGGTTGCATCTGTCTTCTGGGCATCCATAAAACTTATTCAGATAGTGCTAAAAGAGAGAAAAGAAAAAAAAGGAGAATTATTCAACTCTCATGATAAGTAATTATATCAAGTTAGTCCAGCACACATGAATAAATAAATAAATGATGCAGCCTAGAAACTATTCCTTGGCAATTCACTTCTTATACTTGACACATGACTTACACTTAGACACAGTTTCTGGGAAAAACAAGCAATAAACTTACCAGAGCAACTTCTTTGTCTGTTGTGGGGGTAGTATCGTCTCCAGGAAACCTGATGATAGGCGAGGGAGCAGCATATGTCGCTTGAAAGACGATAAACTGAAGCAAAAACAATTTGAAAACAACCCGACGACAACCATATATCGTCGGAAAACCCATTTTCCCAGGTGAACTGTATCTTCAATGCGGTAAATACCGTGCGCGACCCTTCAGCCTGTGGTGCCTCTGCTGCTCTGCAGGATTTTTTCCCCCTTCTTCTTAACGGGACATACTGCACCTCCGATCTATGAACTTTCTCAGTTCTGCTTGCACAGGCACTTTTTCTGCCCCCGGTGTATTCTGCGCAGTCTCCAGGTTGGGAGAGAGGGGAGGGGGGTGGGTGAGGGGGGAGAAGAGGCCACAGACTGGAATAACTTCATGCTCACTCTTATGGTCGGATTCCTTTCTGTCTCCCTTGTTTTTACTGGAAAACCACGGGTGGATGAAGGCAGAGTCTGCAGCGGGATGTCTGAGGATTAAACATGAACGGGCATGACGGATGTTGATCTACATCAGATCTGTTGTGTCCTCATCACATTATTCCAAAAGCCTAAACAGTTTTCCAACATGTCACCATGTCCCTAACGAGTTTATTATTTAGTATGAGGCCACTTGTCATCATGAATGTTATTACGAAGTGAGGTCCGTCTTTTGCGAATGTAGATGTGCATTTTGATAACACAGCCAATTTGCGCCCCACATTCTGTACAGTACTGTAATCTACTGTAACACACACATAGGGTGCAGTATGCAAAATTGCGTATTACTGATAAGTCTTGCATTATATAAAATAAAATGTGCGTCATGTGCACACCACTGTTTGTGCATGGCTTCATAATAATAAGTGGGTGTTGTCTGTATATATTGACATCTGTTTTTTTCATTGTCCCTGCCTCGCCCTCTACTAGCCTTTGCCACACATGTGTCATCAGTCCCCCACCCCTCCTGCATGCACCATGGTCCTTATGATCATAATAATGTTTGCCTCATTTTGATGAATTATAGTATAAATCAAATGAATAATAGAAAAAGGATGAGATGTTGCCAATTATTCATCATTCATGCTTAATCTCCCTGTTTCTAAAAGTCCAATAGTGAATAACTATGGCTCACTCCTATTGTACGAATACAAACCCACATTTTTGATGTAAATATCATCTGTTGTGTCAGTTGAACCAGTCATACAGCGACATCCAGCGGCAGGCAGGGTATGCTATATTTGAAGTGCTATGACGACACCTGGTGGCAGGACGTGAAAACAGCACGACAAGAGAATTACATGTAGCCATAAAACCACAAACGCAGTATCACTGATTTATCCCGTTTTTGCACCATGATTTTTATTTTATTTTAAGTCTAGGCTAATTATTTATTAAGTACTCCCACATCAAAACAATGCATCCGAATGTAATTCTCAACCTCAAATTAAACTCCTTCTTATATGCTTGAAAAACAAAAGGCCTCACTGTGGAAGATGTGTTCAGAGGCATAAATGTTTTTCAGATGAAATATTTACAGATATAATTATCTCAGTGCACAGGAAGTTGGGCTTCAAAGAACATCTCCATTCATTGTAAATATAGTGAACATCTCTGCTCATTAGCTGATTTATCCCATCTATTATTAATTTTACATTATACTTATGTTAAACAGATGTCTTAAGTATGTTTTAAACATGTTTTTCCACTGTCATGATGTAACTGAGGAGGTATGTTATGTTGCTGTGAACTGACTATCACGTGCTGCATGAAACCATGTTGCAAATTCACTGAATTAACCCAGTGATGTTTCTGTGAAACCGCTTCCTTGTTACTGCCAGAAATTCAGAGCAGTAGTGACTCACAGCTGCTGAACTAGAGACACACTTTAAACACACTGTAGAGTCCAGTGTTTACGCTGTGTCTTGAACATTGTCATTTGGGACTGTCTCCAGTCATCTCACAGGATAAGTGGTAGAGATAATAGATGGATGTAGAGTGAGTTGGCTGAGGCTGTGGCAGCATAGAGCCATTAGCATCGCTGCCCTCTGGTGGCTGACATAAGCTCTGCATCTGTGTCTGTTCTTAAGGCCCTTGGAGCCAGTCTTCTTTTCTGAGGCGGCATAGATTTAGGATTTGCTTTAACTCTCTTTGACGTGTCTTCCACTGTTACGCTGGTTTACTCTGAGCAGCATATGAGAGTGGACTCTTTAATAGAGAGAGCTGAAGGACTTTTTTTGCAAAGAGATCTGACAGATGGATAGCTCACAAACAGGATTTTGTGGTATTATCTAGCAAAGCAATTTCCTTTCCCTTTAGCTAGAGTACAGTTAATTTTTCATAGCCGGGGCTGCTGCTGGTGGTTGCAGAGTGAATTTAACATCCATTTGCCAACAATATCCAGGGCCTGTCACTTTGGAGCAGGAGCTTTATTTCATGCACTGATACTTGCTGCCATCTCCTCTAACTGACACACTCGCAGTGATCCCTCGCAGAGCCGGGGAACAGAATGGCTACCTATTAAATGTACATGGGCCTGCCTCTCTAAATAGAAAATGCTGAGATGTGAAAAGTTGAGCCTCAGCTACAGTAATTGAACGGCTTTGTGCATATGAATGCAATTTTGCAGATGAAAGTGGCATAAAGAGATTGAGATGATAAGATTTGATTTGCATGTAAATTGTTTTCTTTTTTGTGTGCCCCTGTTGAATGCTCAAGCTTCATCTAGAATGGAGCAGCTCTCAATGTGTGTGTGTGTTTTAATGAAATACTTTCTTAAAAATGTGTCTCGCTGCGGTTGATTGCAGATGCATCTCTTCTATTTGTATTTGTTTGTCGCTGAGGTGGAGGATTTAAACAAAATCAAGGTTTTATCGGATGCTTTACACCAGAACAAGTGATTTATTCTCCAACATTTCCCCCACTGACATAAAATCATGCATCATTTTCATTATAAACAATTACCTCTTTGGTTTAAATGGGGGATTTCTGCGTGTTACAAACTCAAAGCTACAATATGCTCACTCTGGTCCTACAAACTCACATAATTAATTATGACAGTGAGTGGCTTCCTGCAGCACGCCAGTGTGGCCTCCTCGTGCGACTGGGAACAGGACGTTCTGGATGTGCAGGCCAGTCGTATCATGGCTCTCCAGCTGGCTCTGCCTCTTCAGGCCCACTTGATTGACCCCAGTCCAGCTGAACAGACCGCAGCCCTGGATGTCACCCTCTCCCCTCGTCCTGGTCCTCTGGCTCTTGCGAGGGACCCAGGCAGATCCTCTGATGGGTCATCAAACCAAACTGCCTGTATGGCTGGCTGGCACCAAGGTCATGAATGACAAATATCACAGTCCCCGCACTGCCCCTGTCTCAATCTAACTCAGGAGCTGCTCAGAGTGCTCGGTGTATCGTGCAGTGATGTTTGGTTCAGGCTTGCACTGCATAGTTAGCCTGGCTCTGCAGTTAATTCTGACACAGAGTGGTTTCAAATCAGTCTATTGGCATTGTTTGTTTTATGATCTGTGCAGGAGTAATTAAGCAATGGCTGAGTAAATGAATGCAGCAACAGCTCTGTCAATAAATCTGTTTCAAGATAACTTAATTTGGCTAAGCACTGTGTTACTACTGTGACACATATTATATCACTCGATTTGAAACATTCCGATGATGAATTATTGAACATAAATCCATTATCTTGAACATGTTTTATTTATGAATGCACCAAGACACTGGAGGACTTTAACACTGCAGGATAATTATTGTTCCACATTGTGTCACCACTCTTCTCTCAGATGCAGCTGCCAGCGCCAACTGCAGCGAATCAAAGAATCGTGACTTTTGATTGACATTTTGTGTGAGTGCGAGGCCCAAAGCGACATTAGCCGAATTGCTTTATTTAACGCTTTCTCCCTCATTCTGTTTCTCTTTTAGTGCGCCTTGTAAACACTGATGCAATAATGCATTCCATTATACAGGGGAGAGGAGATGAGTGTCTCTCGTGGCTCCTCTCCATCTCAATAATAGGTCAACAGCTGTATTTAAAAAATTAATCACATTCTTGGCAGTCGCAAAGGTTAGCCGCGGCGCTCTGAGATGCAATATTGGAAGCTCAGATCGGCGGCAAATCTCGGCGGGAATGAGGAAGAGTTGCCTTTGATGAGTACAGCATGTAAATGATTTGTGTGTGTTTATAGGACACGGGGCTGGCCCTGCCTCACTCCAAGACAGCGGTCTCGGCACCGCTCGGTGGCAGTGGCTGGCAACAGCAGATGGAAATAAGCATGGGAAGGGGAGGGCTGACCTGACTACAGCACTCCACTGTTTGTTCTATCAGCAGAAGGATTCTCTTTCTTTTCTCGCAGTCTATCTCTGTTTCACTTTGAGCCTTGTTTCATTGCGTGTTTTTCTTATACTTGATTTCTGTTTTTTTCTTGTATGTTCAGGTCCAAATCCATTTATATTTAAGTATCCGAGAGACTTCAAAGGTCCCTGTAATACAGCATATATTATCAGAGATTTCCCTGCATACTTTTCCCATATCCTCAGAACTCTTAGGGTTAATGTGAGTTGTGAGTTGTCTTCATCGCAACCCAGGACAACTAAACAGCTTGTTTGTTAATCCTGTTGTTTCCTGATGGAGACATTATCAGCTTGTGTGTGTGACCTTTTAAGAAATTCAAATATTGATGCCTTTCTCACATCAGAGACAAATTACTCTCAAAGATATCCTGAGGTATGAGGACACGCAGATGAAATATGCATGTCTACCTTGGATTGCTTTTAGTAATTCTGAAATATTCAAAGTGGTATTTTTGGAGCACCATGGTTCTTGCTCATTGTGCGTACAGGCTGACGTTCAGGTATGAATTTTTTAGCGGCGATCTGGGTCGCCCATCGCAGTAAATGGATAGCCTTGATAAGTCAAACAACATTGCTGCTTGAATTGTTGGGTGGATTGAAATACTGCATGATGCAAGTGAATGAAAGGAGGGTTGAAACGCAGCCATCTGTCTGGTGCTGCCAACATGGTTCTGAGACCTGTGCAGCAGATTATTACTATTACTACAGTGCCTGTTCGGAAAGGACTTTTCTCTTGGCCGGTGTTAATGTTCTGGAGCTACTTCAGAATTATTCCTGGTCATTAGTGAGTCCTCTTCACACCGTTCTTCAAAGAGTGAAGTTATCCTACCTGGTTTATCTGCAATGAAGATTTATAGTTGGTATTTTTAATCTAATTAAATGAAATTACTTTATTACTGTTCATGTATGTGGTTTATTTATAAGTTCGAATAATTCACTTCATA